CTTCGATAAAGCAATTATTTAGTTCTTTAATATAATGACATAAAACAACTAAACACGATAATAGAAAGAGCAATTAGGTTAGAGCCAAAAATTTCAATGGGGGAATATTTGTATAATGGGGGTTTTCATAATTTCAATGGGGACATATTTTAGATTTTTCAAAATATATAGAAGCATAATAGAAATTAAAAAAAAAATTAAAAAAAGAAAATTCAATGGGAGGCATAAGTCATCCATATAATCTCAAAGACCTCTTTTAACAATTTCAATATAAAAAAGATTGGGCCCTCTTTAGGTCTGTCCTTACACATGACCAAAAAGACAAACGAGATGATACTGATTCGAGAACATTCTATTAGTTGTGTGATTTAAATCTCTAGAAATGACTTATTTGTAATAAATTTGTGTGTGTGTGTATATACACACATAAAGAAAGTAATATAAAGAGATTGAGTGAGAGAAAACGAAAGAGAGGCAGAGAGAATGAAATTTTGTTTTTCTATTCCAACACATATCTTCACAGTACACATGCATAGCTATATATATATATAGGCGCAGCAATTGGCTTCCCTAAGAAGCCACTCTTGAAAGCTTCCTTTGTAAGACTTAAGCCTTGATGTCATGGATGATATCATATATTGTGGGCCCCACACCATGATATATACATAACACTCCCCCTTGGGGTCCACAATACTGTACTAAGAATATGCCTCGTTAAAAACCTTGCTAAGGAAAACCCAGTGGGACAAAACACTAGCGAAGGAAAAAGAGTTCAGTATTCTTATGTATCTGAAAATGGTATTGCATAGAGTAAAACTGCCTCATTAAAACCTTGCCAGGAAAACCCAGTGGGACAAAACCTGGACGAAGGAAAAAGAGTACAGCATGCCAATACCTCTTTGATGAATTGCTCCACCTCATTAGATCAACCCTGAAGATCCTTTAGTTGACGCATTCCAATGTTGTGCACCAGCTTCTTAAATGTTGTAGTTGGAAGCGTTTTAGTGAATAAATCTGCTAGATTTTCACATGAACGTATCTTCTGAATATCAATATCACCCTTTTTCTGCAGTTCATGTGCATAAAAGAATTTTGGTGAGATGTGCTTGGTCCTGTCACTTTTAATATACCCTTCTTTCATCTGTGCAATGCATGCCGCATTATCTTCATATAATATTGTTGGACTTTCTTTTATTAATGAGAGACCACATGTTGTTCGAATATGATGGATCATTGATCTCAACCAAATGCATTCTCTGCTTGCCTCATGAATTGCAAGTATCTCAGAATGATTTAAAAAAGTGGCAATCATTGTCTGTTTCATCGATCGCCATGATATAGCTGTGCCGCCACAGGTAAACACATACCCTGTTTGTGAATAAGCTTTATGTGGGTCAGAAAGATAGCCGGCATCTGCATATCCAACTAATGGAGACTTTGGTGCCTTTGAATAAAACAAGCCCATATCAGTTATGCCACGAAGATATCGCAATATGTGTTTGATTCCATTCCAGTGTCTGCGAGTTGGTGCAGAACTGTACCGTGCTAATAAATTGACTGGAAAAATTATATCAGGTCTTGTGCAATTTGCAAGATACAAAAGAGCACCAATCGCACTGAGATAGGGCACTTCAGGGCCATGGAGTTCTTCATCATCTTCATGAGGACGAAAATGATCTTTCTTGATGTCCAGTGATCGGACAACCATTGGGGAGCTCAATGGATATGCTTTATCCATATGAAAACGTTTCAGAATCTTTTCTGTATATGTTGATTGATGGATGAGAATACCATTCGAAAGATGTTCAACCTGCAGCCCAAGGCAGAATTTTGTCTTTCCGAGATCTTTCATTTCAAATTCTTTCTTTAAATATGTGGCTGTCTTTTCGATCTCGTCCAATGTTCCCACAAGGTTCAGATCATCAACATATACTGCAACAATAACAAAACCAGATTCTGATTTGTTAATAAATATGCATGGACAAATATGACCGTTCACATACCCTTCTTTGAGTAAGTAATTGCTAAGGCGATTATACCACATTCGTCCAGATTGTTTCAATCCATATAAGGATCGTTGTAATTTTATTGAGTGCATATTACGTGGTTTTGTTTCAGGCATTGTAAATCCTTCTGGGATTTTCATATAAATATCACTATTTAGTGATCCATATAAATATGCTGTAACCACGTCCATTAAATGCATATGCAATCTTTCTGTGACTACTAAATGTATTATGAATCTAAAAGTAGTTGCATCAATCACAGGGGAATATGTTTCCTCATAATCAATACTAGGTCTTTGTGAGAAAGCTTGAGCTACAAGTCGGGCTTTATATCTCACGATTTCATTTTTCTCATTACGCTTTCGTACAAACACCTATTTGTACCCAACAGAATTAACACCCTCAGGTGTCTAGACTACTGGTCCAAATACTTCACGTTTAGCTAATGAATTTAGCTCTACTTGTATCGCTTCTTTCCATTTTGGCCAATCATTTCTTCGTCGACATTCTTCGACGTTTTGAGGTTCCGGATCCTCATTTTCAATATCAAGAGCAACAAGATATGAGAATATGTTGTCGACAACAATTTCATTTCTATTCTATCTCGTTTCATAATTTAATGAGATCTCATCATTTCCAAGTACCTTTGCCTCATCAAGAGCATGTGCCTCATCAATGGCCACATCATCATCTGTTGCTTTTGCCTCATCAATATTTATTATTTCATCATTTTTAGGTACTTGAGACTCATCAAGAGCATCTGCTTTATCAAAGGCTATTATCTCAGATTGATCAATAATATCTGTTGCTCTTTTCGTGGCCTCTTCAGGAGTGCCAACTTTTCTTTGTGATTTCCTCTTACGAGAAACAATATCTTTTGCACCAACTGGTCTACCACGCTTCAGGCGTGTTTTAGATGCATTTGCTGCATTACTGACAGAAGGTCCCTCAGGGACAGCAATTCGTGCTGGCACATTTGCAGCTGGTATATGTGATTTTATCACTTTCTTTGTATTAGTAAATGCATCAGGTAATTGATTTGCAACATTTTGCAAGTGAATGATCCTCTGAACTTCTCGTTCACATTGGTTTGTACGAGGATCAAAATGAGACAATTTCAGGGCATTCCAAGTAAGATCACGTTGCTGCTGTACCTTTTCTCCCCCTAATGGTGGGAAAACAGTCTCATCAAAATGACAGTCAGCAAATCGTGCTTTGAAGACATCACCTGTCAGGGGTTCAAGATATCTAATAATAGATGGAGAATCAAAACCAACATAAATTCCAAGTCTACGTTAAGGACCCATTTTAGTGCGTTGGGGTGGTGCAATTGGAACATATACAGCACAACCAAAAACTCGTATGTGGGAGATATTTGATTGTTGACCAAAAACAAGTTGTAATGGTGAGTACTTATGATAAGCAGTTGGTCGTATACGAACTAATGATGCAGCATGCAATATGGCATGACCCCAGGCAGAAACAGGTAATTTTGTTCGCATAAGCAAATGATGACCAATTAACTGAAGTCTTTTAATAAAAGATTCAGCCATACCATTTTGAGTATGAGTGTGTGCAACAGGATGTTCAACATAAATTCCAACTGACATGCAATAATCATCAAAAGCTTGAGAAGAAAATTCAGTGGCATTATCAAGACGGATTGTCTTAATTGGGTAATCAGGAAAGTGTGCCCGTAATTTAATGATTTGAGCAAGAAGTTTAGCAAATGCAATATTACGAGTAGAAAGTAGACAAACATGTGACCATCGTGTTGATGCATCAATTAAGACCATAAAATAACGAAATCGTCCAGATGGTGGATGGATTGGCCCACATATATTCCTATGAATTCGTTGTAAAAATGGAGGAGACTCAACAATGACTTTTGAAGGGGATGGTCTGATAATCAACTTACCTTGTGAGCAGGCGGTACAAAGATGATTATTTGGTAAGATGATTTTTTGATCCTTTAGTGGGTGACCATGTGAATTTTCAATAATTCGACACATCATTGTATTCCCTGGGTGACCAAGTCGATCATGCCAAAGTATAAAAAGTTTTGGGTCACAAGATTTTTTATGGATTATAACATTTGACTCAATTGTTCTAATGGTTGTATAGTATAACCCAGAAGAGAAAACAGGGAGTTTTTCTAATATCAGTTTCTTGCCTGAGGTAATGGAAGTAATGTAGAGATATTCAACATTTCTTTCATTTGCAGTCTCAATATGATACCCATTACGACGCAAGTCTTTAAAACTCAGCAGATTTCTCCGAGATCTTGTAGAATATAAGGCATCATTGATTTGTAATCTAGTTCCATGTGGTAAAATGATGTTGGCTCGTCCGGAGCCTTCAATCAAGTCGGTGGAACCTGATATGGTACTGACACTAGCGTCTGTCAGAATTAAGTGGGAAAAATATTTTTGATCTCGAAGGATTGTATGCGTTGTTCCGCTATCTGCAAGACATATGTCTTCACCAATTAGTTTGGAACTAGTCAGATCCATTCCTATTCATGCAAATTTCTTTATCAGAAAAAAACTTTTATAACAAAAACCTTTAATACAAGGACAACAAAAAACATAGTAGACAGTACATAAAAGAAACATAAGATTAACTGGTGTGGACATTTCCATCACCAATCAGGAAGTCTATCCTTCCATCACGATCATCAAAAAAATCTGATACATCCAAATTGGTGATGTTAACTGGTTCATCATGATTAATGAAATTCATTTCCAGATGTGTGGTGTCAATTGGCTCATCATGATCAAGGAAATTCATTTCCTTTTGTTTTCCCTTTTCTTTTATTGAGGCTTGATACAGATCAGCCAGATGCTTCGGTGTACGACAAATACTTTGCCAATGCCCTGTCATGCCACACCAATAGCAAGTATTATCATGAGCCTTGGAAGGTTGAGCCACATCCTTTCCTTTTACTTGTCTCATTTCATTATGATCTTTCCTTTGAGGATATGGTGTGGATCTCTAATTGCGAAAATGTGAGGATTGATATCCTTCACGATAATAAGAATGATTTCTACCACGACCATATTCATTATTGTGGTAGTTATTTTTGCCACGACCATATTCATTTCTACCACCACGACCACGTCCACGTCCGCGTCCACGACCACTGGATGAGGCAACATATGTTTCTGGGATCGGTGTCGATCCAGTTGGACGGGACTGGTGGTTTCTCAATAAAAGTTCATTATTTTGTTCTGCCACAAGAAAACATGATATCAGCTCTGAATATTTTTTAAATCTACGCTCTCGATATTGTTGTTGCAAGAGTACATTCGAGGTGTGAAATGTGGTGAATGTTTTTTCTAGCAGAAGTTCATCAGTAACAGTATCACCACATAATTTCAATGTAGAGCTGATTTTGAATAGGGCAGAGTTATATTCAGCCACAGTTTTGAAATCTTGCAACCTCAGTTGCAGCCAATCAGCCCTGGCCTTTGGGAGGATAACTGTTTTTTGATGATCATATCTGTCTTTCAAATTGTTCCACAAACAAAGTGGATCTCTTTCAGTGAGGTATTCATTTTTCAGTTCCTCACTAATATGACACCGGAGAAAAATCATGGCCTTTGCTTTATCTTGCAATGATGCATCATTCTTTTCTTTAATTGTGTCTCCAAAGCCCATGGCATCCAAATGGATCTGAGCATCCAAAATCCATGATAAATAATTTTTGCCAGAAATATCCAGGGCCACGAATTCCAGCTTTGTCAAATTTGACATTTTCAGAATAACTAGATGTGACAACAATATAAAAATATAATTTAGCATAGTATATAAAATAAAATGACATTAAATGAGATAATAACATAATATAAATTATTTAAATAATAAAGGTAGTAAATCCAGCCATAGTAAATAAATTAGTAAACAATAAAAGCGGTAAAACCGGCCCATAAATCATTAAATAATAAATGTGGTAAAACCGACCATAGTGTAAGCACATATATCATTTAAGTGAACAAATTTATTTTATGAATAATAATCCATAATTAACATTTCCTTACCCTTTGGAGTCAGAAATATTATTTTATCCGATAAAGCAAACCAACCCAACAATCTATCAAAACTAATATCACAAAATAGATATATAGTTGGGATAGAAAGAGGGAGAGAAAGTTTCTTCTTCAAATCTCAGATGGATAGAGTTCGTGCTGATAACGTGTAATAAATTTGTGTGTGTGTGTATATACATACATAAAGAAAGTAATATAAAGAGATTGAGTGAGAGAAAACGAAAGAGAGGCAGAGAGAATGAAATTTTGTTTTTCTATTCCAACACATATCTTCGCAGTACACATGCATAGCTATATATATATATAGGCGCAACAATTGGCTTCCCTAAGAAGCCACTCTTGAAAGCTTCCTTTGTAAGACTTAAGCCTTGATGTCATGGATGATATCATATATCTAGTAGTAGTAGTACTACTACTACTTGCAATGTATGTGAATCATTTTTAGTCCTTGCGAATTAAAAATAAGAATAATAATAACAAATAATAATAGTACTAGAAGTTGTAGTAGTAATAATAATAAAAATTTAAAATAATAACGAAAATAAATTGCTTGATGGATACATATACCAATAAATAATTTTTGTAAGCTCATAAATTATAAATAAAAAAAAACAAACAATTAAATTAAAAAAAATAATCATAGTAAACATATATGTACATACAAACGTATATATGAAAATACTTTTTAAAGTGAAAAATTAGGTAAATCTTCATTTATTTTAAAATATCTTCCTTGAAAAATTAAGCGAATTTTCATTTGTTTTTGAAATTAGGCGAATCTTCATTTGTTTTAAAAATATCTTCCGGAACAAAAGTATAAGTTATTTTTTGTTAGGTTTTTGTAAATTATTTTACTCAATAAATATTTTACTTAAATTTTGGACAACCAATTACCAAAAAATAAAATATATATATATATATATATATATATATATATATATATATATATATATATATTTTCCATCCAAACAAATGAAGCCCAAAACAATGGTAAAGAAAGAGAATATTAATGAGCTAATGTAACGCATGAATTCCACGTAAATTCGTAATCTATTTATTGGTCACTTTCTTTTTGCATCGGTTAGTTTGGTATTTACTCGCGTACATATATATAATTAATAAAATTAAATGTTTCTGCTATAATTTTTGTTTTTGGCACATGGTTAGTCCGTTGCAGGTATTACTATTATTTACCCCCACAAAATACATATATTACTATTACACAATCAATTCAACTAGTACATAATCTTTTTAAAATTTATTTATTTATTAATAATTTATGAGCTTGCAAAAATTATTTATAGGTATATGGATCCATCAAGTAACTAATCAAGCAATTTATTTTTACTATTATTTTAAAATTTTATTATTATTACTACTACCACTATTATTATTATTATTATTATTAATTCGCAGGGGCTAAAAGTGATTCACATATCTTGTAACTAAGCAATTTATTTTTGTTAATTTACTATTATTATTATTATTGATATTGTTTATAATAATTAAGCAAAATTATAAAATAAAATAAAAAAAAAACCCTGAACTATTAATTAGTTGCAATATGGCCCCTGAAGGGTATTGTACATTTATGATATTTTACAATTTTTATATAAATTAATATATAGGGGTATTTTGGTAATGTTGACCCTCTGGTCATCGAAAAATGTGGTTTTGTGACCGGGAGGGTCCTTTTCGCAACCTTTTTATAGTTGATGGTTCGATTTACAATCCCAAATAATTTAGGAGAGTATTTACAATTTTAGTAATAGTTCAAGAAGTCTTTTTTTGTATTTTTGCCTAATTATAATGAATAATTTCTCGTATTTTGTACTTTTGCCTAATTATAATGAATAATTTCTCGTATACCTTTAACACTATAACGAATCTTTTTATTTTTGCTACCCAACCACAATTTTTCCCTTCTCTGCTAACCTACACATTCTTGTGGGTGGTGGTGTGTTTTTTCACCGCGTCCCATACACGCCACCTGTTTGTTTGTTTTTCTATTTTAAATGTTTTGTTCTACGAATTCAAAAACAAATGAAAGCTATTGTCCTGTGGGTTGTGAAATTCAAATGGTCCATGATCTTATTGATCCTCGTACCAAAAGTTTGAATTGTTATCTATTGTATCACTTTTTTGGCTTTGAAGATTGCAAGCTTATCCAAAGAATTCCTATTAGTGAATTTGTTTGGTATTTGTGGAAAGCTAGAAATGTTTATATTTATGAAGCTCATGTCATGACGGAGCACAAGGTTCTTTTTCTTGTTTTGAAGCACTGGGATAAGTTTAAACAAGTTATGAATGCTCCGTCTATGCGTTGTAACGGCCCGCTTGCAAATAGAACAGAGGCGTGACAACCTCCACCCATTGGTGTTTATAAGTTGAATTTTCATATTTCTTTTATTGCTCGTTCTGGAGAAGTTGCCGGAGGATTTGTTGTTCGAAATTCAGAAGGGTGCATTGTCAAAGCTGCCATCTGTTCATTAACAAACATGTCATCTGCTCTAATGGCTGAAGCTGCTACTGCTAGGAAGGCACTTAGATAGAGTTTAGAGTGGGGCTTTATTGATTGAATTATCGAGGGTGATTGTAAAGTACTCCTTGATTCGAAGAGTCCTCAAAGCTGCATCGCTGCTATTTGGGAAGATATTAGCTTTCTGCTTTCCCAGTTCCAATGAGCATCCTTGCATTGGATTGGTAGAAATGTTAATTCTGTTGCTCATGTATTGAGTCACTTGGGTTCAAAAGAGTGATATAATGTTTGATCTTACTATCTCTTGAGTGATTCAAGAAGCAGCCTTAGTGGACTGCCAAAATTTGTACTGTGTTTTCCTTTGAATCAATGAAATCATCTTTCTTGCCTTCAAAAAAAAAAAAAGAAAAAGAAAGCTAACAATTGACCTTAAAGTTTGACTTTTGTGCGTCAATTACAACCTTATCCTTTTGCATCCTCCGGTAACCAAAGCTTCATTTCCCAACTACTTTTTATTTTATTTTATTTTATTTTTTCTTTATTTTTTTGTCCTCCCAAAGAATTTATATAATACTTATAGGTAGATTTGAACTCTTTGTCTTCCACTTTGAAAAATAAATAATAATAATAATAATAAAAATACCAATTACATGCTTTTACAAATATGGGTTAAGTACAGAAAACACTCTTAATGTATACTTTTCGTAGCACTTTTATCCATATTTAAAAAAGTATGCTAAAAATGTACGAAAACACCCGTCAATCAAAAATCTGACATAAAATAATGTTCTAATACCCATTTTGCCCTTTTATTCTTTCGAAAATACCCAAATGGGTGTGTATATATTTAATTTTTAAAACTTTAGAATTTAAAATAAATTTTTACAAATATATATATATAATTCTTTACATAGTAATAAATGTGTATTCAATTTTTATTGAGGAAAAAAAAAAAAAAAACAAACAAACAAATGGGTGTTTAATCACCGATGGTCATCATACTATTCAAATTGCCATAAAATTATGTTCTTAATTAAATCTAACCGTTAATATCAAATGATTCAAAACAACAATAGTTTATAAAGTGCATAAAACACTCCTATATATAATATGCTTACAATGCGTGTCACATCTCTCATGTACTAAATAACTATTTTCTTCATTTTATAAAATGACATTTTTTAATAAGGACAATACTTGTCTACCCATCGGTGAGTAGGTGATCTCTACTGATTTTGAAATAATATCTGCATTTATGATTGAACCACATTAACGATCAATAGAGATAACCTATTTATCAGTGAGTAGACAAATATTGTTCTTTAAATAATATGTAAAATGTGTATATAAGGACAATTTAGTCAAATTATAATTTAAATGTGTCAGAAAATACTTATTTACGCTAAATTAAAACTTTGGTATTATTTTCTGCTCATGAAAGATGTGATACGCATCCAATATTTTTTGCACTCAACTCGTAAAAATATTCCACAGTAAAACTGGCCTTTCTAAATCACGAGGGCACATGATACTAACGGTTGGCTTTCATAATCTTCTATTGCCCATTATTAAACCACATGAAACATGTTCTTAAGAGTATGTTGCTTTCACATATCAAACCCGTGATACATACGATGGTTTATTATCCAATTAGTGAATTTAGATTTGACCCAGATTAACATAGCAAAGCATATTAAAGTACAGAGTTAAGTTTGTTGACCAAGATTAACATTGCAAAGCATATTAAAGTAGAGTTAAATTTGTTCAAATTTAAAGTGTAATTTATCCATTAACTTGTTTTTCAATTCTTAATTTCCTAGGAAGACTATCAGCATCAATTTATATGCATGTCTAATAGCAGCAAAATGGTACGGAGTACTTATTTTTAATCATATATATATATATATATTTTAATAACTCCAGTTAACTTCACCTTAACATATAAGTTATGCGTATATAGATTAAATTAGATTTTATTGGATTAGGATTTTTCATAATTTTAGAGTGCTTGATAGTTCGATCTTTGCTATTGAATTTCAATCTTAACAGTGAAATGATATAATTGAAGTAAAAGACACTACTCTACAAAATCAAATAGAGTCTGAAGTACCCTTTTAACCGATAACTTTTTTTTCGTTGATAAGTGATAACTACGGATGTCAATTTTTACCGCCTCGCCGGAGCTCCGTCCCGTCCCGCCCTGTTAATAAAGGATATGGAAACACTTT